AACAAGTGAAAATTGAATGATTTTCAAGATATGACATTTATCAAGATTAGATTATTCGAAGTAATCTTAAGATCGTAAGATTACATGTGAGCTACGAAAATTCGTATCTGTAGTATCTGAACGCTAATCTTATATATTTATCTATAAAAACATTTCTTTTTACAAATAAATTATTTCAATAATTATTGAAATATTATAGAAAATTATATACAGGGAGTCATATAAAATTGTTAAATATGAAACACACATACACACATTTGATTATTCCGATTACTGAGAGTTCAAAATTGGACATTTCATACTTAATGACATAAATACATAAATTGTATTATCATTATTATTATTATTATTATTATTATAATGATTATGAATATATTTATAAAAATAATAATATAATTACTTACATATACTTTTACATAATAAACTTAAATGATTTAGAATTGTAATCTATTTTCTGAAAAAAAGAAAAAGAAATAAAAAACAAACAAAATAATTAAACCAGTGTATTAATTAATATCATTAAAAAAAAAGATGTTTTTTTAAGTTAAATTTTTACATTTATTAATATAGTTGAATCATAAGAAATTGTAAAAGATCGTTAAATAAAGAGAAAAAGAGAGAGATAGATAGACAGATGAATAGACCTACGAGAAACGTCCTTTCTCTCGTAAATGGCGTTCAAAGGAAAGGAACATTACCTTTCGAATCGAGCTATGTAAAGTATGTATATAAGTGAGCATATATGTAAGTACGACGACATTGACCGGGTATCCTGCTTATGCCATTTGTCCGTAATGTACCTGAGAATGAAAATGAATACACATATACTAGATTTATACAATATAGAAATATATTTTCCGAACCTTAGCTTTTGTCAGTCATAGTTACGTGGACTCTTATGATGCACGCATATCCTATTACGTGTCAAAGGTTAACATTTACTTCGTTGTGATCGCAAACACGTGCTTTTCACTGTGGGTAACACGTGTTCATTCTCTCTCACTCTCTCACTCTCTCATTCTCTCATTCTCTCTCTGTCTCTCTCTCTCTCTTTCTAAAACACACAGATATACACATATATAAAACACACGTTTATACTTTTCATCTCCGTTTTCATTCTCATCTTCATTCTCATCTTCATTTTACTTTTCAATCGACATAATCACATGCTAGTCTATATTTAACACTTACACACGAAAATATTGCTGACAAAGTTCCATGAACTTCTACTTGTAGAAAAGTCTCTGATCTTCGGTTTAACTGAATGTGAGAAACTGAATATGGAAGTGTTTCGTATATCTAACGTAAATTATCTAACAAGTTATTCCGGTTTTACCTCTTCTTTTTATTTTTTTTTTTAATTTCTCTGATTATTTTTTCTTTTCTTTTTTTTTTTTTTTCATAGAACAATAAAGTAAATAATATATTAGAATATATCTATGCATGTGTATGTGTTTTTGTATATTTATATGTAAGTAATATATTTAAGAATAATATAGATTTGTGTAGAATATTTTATTATTTTTTAAAGTAATAATATCATAATAAATATTAAATAAATAGTATAAATATAATAGTATAAATTATAGTATTAATAAAAAAAGAATAATATTGGAGTATTAAATACCATAGTACATTTATAATTAATATAGAATTCTAAAATAATAATAATAATATTAATAATATATAATAATTGTTTTTTTTTTTTTTTATACGAGATAATTTTTATATTTTTGTATAATAAAAAAAAGTATATTTTTCCAAGAAATATTTTATTATTTTTTAAAGTAATAATATAATAATAAATACTAAATATAATAGAATAATATTGGAGTATTAAATACTATAGTACATTTATAATTAATATAGAATTCTAAAATAATAATAATAATAATAATATTAATATTAATAATATATAGTAATTGTTTTTTTTTATACGAGAGAATTTTTATATTTTTGTATAACAATAAAAAAAAAAAAAAAAGATATTTTTCCAGGAAATTATAAATGATGTAATACTTTCGAAGAAATTACCACACCACGATGTGACAAGATGAAAAGAAATGTAAATAACAACACTAGCAATCTATTGCTATTTATTGGGATACAAAAGCAACAAGCGACGATTTCTCAAATGGACTTTTATTTTTATTCATACCATGAAATTATTCGTTCAAAGGAAACGTATTTTATGAGTACTTTATGAGATTAGTTATGACCATTGCTAAATTGCTAATCTGTCTCCACTGACGCTTCTTTACTTTTCTTATTTTTATTGTTTTCCTTTCCATTCTTTTCATTTTTTTTTGTTCTTTTTCTTTTTCTTGTTCTTTTTCTTTTTATTTATAAATGAGACAAATATAATCTTAGACGCGGATGATAAATCTCAAGTTATTAAACATTTTCAAATGTAAGATCGAACAGTGAAAGTAGAAAGTCATTGGGTGTTTCAGAATCGTTTAGAACTTTTAGATCTTTTTTTTTTTTATTTCCTTTTTCTTTATATTAACATAATTATCGTTAAAGATGTAGTTGAAAATAATTGCTCGGAGATATTCTTAAAAATATCGTAAGGTCATTTTCTCACAGTTTTGATTGACCCCTTTTTATTTCACTATTTAAATGCACTTACAGTGCTGGTATGTTTCTACATTTCTTTTTCTATATATCTGTATTTTACATATTATAAATGTACATAATGAAATTTATTTAAATACAGCAATAGGATTTCTAGATCTATAAATATTTATAAATATAATAATATAATGATAATATATTGTAGTATAAATATATAGCAAAATTATTCAAACCTCTTCCTCTTAGCAACTCCCTTTATCCGAGCAAATATTTTTACGATCCTGAATATAAATTCAATGGTTATTAATAATTAGTAAAATATTATAATTAAATTAATATAAAGATAAAAATAAAAAATTAGTAGTTTATATAGCGTAGTATATTATAATTTTTATATTATTTATTTATATTATAATTGTAGATTATAAGATTAAATAATAATAATAATAATAATAATAATAATAATAATATATTTGTGTAACCGTATAATTTCATTATAATTATAAGTAATTGTAAGTTATGATCCATAAAAATGTTTTATTTATAGAGATCTTCATGAATAATTTATTTAATATTTCATTCGATATTATGCGAACGTAATTATGAATGAATAATTGTAATATTTGCTATTTTTCATATCGAATTATAATTTTTTGTTTGTTAGCGATGATTCACTTATGGTAAACATTTTCTTTAAATGTTTGCATATTACTTATATTTTACTTATATAGATCATTATCACATTATTCTGGTATTACCAGCTTTGCATGCATTATTCTTGGCATCTATCAAACATATTTTTCTTACCTCTTATACGTATGATTTTTGATATATATATATATTCACACAGACAGACACACACACACACACATCATACGAATATTAAATCATTAAAAATTCCGTAATATTTATCACGAAAGGTAGTAGATATCGATCAAAGATTTTATCAGTTTAGTGGTTACTTTTTGAACATTTACACTTGTTTTTTTTTTGCAATTAATGATTAAAATTAGTTTTCATGTTACTATGATTGATAAGACTTTGCTATTGATAATTCAATATGAAAATTTCTAGACAATAAGAAATAGTAAAATAAAAGAAATTATGGAATTTTTTTTGTTTATCTGTTCTATTCTATTTTAATAAAGATATAGAAGTAATTGTTTTTGCGAAGTAAACACTATCATGAGAAATCAAATAATCAATGAAGTTTCTTATCTGATCCGTTGATGTAAACACTTAAAGAATATTTGTCATATTGAAAATTGTAAAGTATAAATTTTCTGGAATTATATTTTCAAAAAAGAATTTTTAAATGAACACTCGAAATACTATTAACAGGTTTATGGGATACAATTAATTTTAATTCTGTTTGTCTATAGCGATGGATCAGTAAAAATCATTTTTATAATTGTTCGAAGATTTTATAATTCTTTTTTTAATCGAAATATTTAGATTTTTAAATAAAATAAAACTTTTTCTTCGAACTAGAAACAAAATTTATAAATATATAATGAATAAGTAAAGTTTTTTTTTTCAGTTGATAATGTAGAAAATGTTGTTTTTTACTGTCGGTAAAATTAACAATATCTATATATATATATATATTTATCTTCTTTTGTTAAGGTCAATTATCTATAACGTTTCAAAAATTGTCGTAAGATGTCAGAATTTAACGAGGTGTAGATAACGTAGTTTAAAATATACCAAAAAAATAAAAAAATTTCGTCGAATGTTAACAATCAATTGCAAATTTGTATAATATTGTAACGTAATCTGTCGATTTGGAATAATTCAATAAAAATAATTAATATTTTAGAAACATATTGAATGTACTAATTACAATATAAAATTTCATTGTAAAAATATAACGATCTAATATAATTGCACGATAAAAATACAAAATTGAAATATGTCGACATGTAAAATATATAATTAAGGAACACATCTGCAAACTTTTTTAAATTAAAATACGTATTAATTATTATTACATAATAATAAAAACGATGTTCATTGTTATCATTGAAAATATATTATATTGGAAACATTTAATTTAACATTATGAAAAAGATTAGAAATTTTCTGTACACCATGTATAACGAGATAGGACCAAACAAAAACTTATTTATAATTCTTATCACGCATTTATTAAATCGATTTATAACGTTTCAATAATTAAATCATAAAATCATGCTTAATATAATTCGCTAATTTATAATAATAATAATAATAATAATTTTTTTTTTTTGATATCTTTAAATTGGAGATAATTTCTAAAGGATTTTTAAAAGAACGTCAATACGATCATATTTTCACGTTGATCTCTACAGGATACCGTTCAGCTTAAACGATCTACCATTTGCCGAGTAGGAAAGACGGAAACGCACGAAGATTACCGAACGGACGAAGCTGACTTTACGAATTACATCGACAGTTGCGTGTCGGTCTCCGTGCCGTTCGGTGTATTTTTGTTAACGTTTCATATTTTTCTTCTGTCTCTATTCGATTATCATTAATTATTTTTTCCTTTTTTTTAATTAAATCGATAAAATATACGTATATGTATAATATTATTCTTTTAAATACAGCACGGTGATCTAGAAGTTCGTCGTGTATGTGTGGAAGAACGTAGGAGAACCATTCGTCAACGATGTAAGTTTGACAAATGAATTATTTCACGTAATTATTTAATGTTACAACGTTTTTGCTTGAAATAATTATAAATAGTAATAAATATGACATGTTATAGAAATTCATTAATATTCGTTGTGATAATAAATGATGTTACAGTTTTTGCATTTATATTAATCTATTGATCTAGATTATTAATCGTTAATTATTATTTATCGATTGGTAATATGTATATAAATATGATATTTTTACATATTTATATATATATATATATATATATAAAGCTTATTGATTATTCTTGATGTTAGTTGAAAAACAATATCCAAATACAATATCTTTTTGCCTACATACTTTGAACATACGGCTTCACCTTAGTGTCCTCGTCGCTTATGCAAGCTAATTCACTTGCTATCTTTGCAAATGGTATTTGCTCGTAGAAAATTCTGATCTGATAAAATTCAATAAAAATTATCTCAATAGCTTTAACTGATTACACTGAATTGTATCTCTCCCTTATATCCGATTAAATGATTTTAATACCTGGTAAGACTAATTCCTTTTCATTATTTAATTTTAAAAATGGTCACAAACCTTTTTTTTTTTTTTCTCTCTTAAATCAAATATTTTCAACGTTTTATTTTCTTTTCTTTTTTTTGTTTTATAATTGTTATTATAATGTAGTAAAATTATTCGTAATTATTATTCTTGTAATATAACAAATAATATTATAACAATAATAATATATAAATGATTAATATTATTTAAAGTATTTAACTTGTACGAATTAACGATTGTAATCAAAGAATACAAACTATTGATTATTATTTCATTATAGTAATCGACAAGTACCTTGCTTGCTATCAAAAATTAAAGTTCAATTTATCCTAACATATGTGTTGATGACATATATTTCTCTTCGTTCACTTTATTACAACAAATTTTTATCTTTCTTGATCATATTGACACATTTATGATTAAACGATGTATTATTGAAACAGATATATAATTTAATTTATCTTTTTTATTTTTATAATAAAATTTGCTTGATATTATTAAAATATACTAATCGTACAATCGGGGGGATATCCTGGATTATTGTTATCGCGGATAAAAAAAAATATTATTACGGATTTTATATTAAATCAAATAATCTTAGTAATAGTTGAATAATTTTGATTCACAAAATGTATAAGAGAAAGATCGTATGAAATGCTGAGTTAGTAACTATACTATGATAACGCTTCAACGTGTTCAGTAACGAGAACGTTTCACCGTGGAACAAGTTGGTGGAATTTTGTAAGAGGTCCCGTGGAAACTAGTTCGTACGTTCTAATCGTAATCATAGTTTCTATTGCATTAATAATGAAATAATATGTAAGGTGTACATAATATATATTTAAAATATATATTTTTATCTACATTATCATTTTATCTACGTTTTTATTAAATATCTCATTGCATTTTAACAGAAATTTCGTTCAGTCCAGCAGTATTTTCAAAACAAAATGGAAAAATTGAAAACAATAATAACAAAACAAAATTTTATATCTGTGTTTCAAAAAAAAAAAAAAAAGAACTATTTATATTTACTTAATTTCTGACGAATTATATTTCCTTTGATAAACATCTTACCATTTTGGTGTGTCTATTTAAAACTATCGCATTCAGTATTCCAATTTTATGACTTAAATTTGGATAAGTATACTTTTTATCAGTTAATTCACCCATAGACCATACCAGTGACTTTTATTAAATATAGTAATAATATTATAATAAATAAATCCTACAATTATCTTACTCTTGAAACTGTGCAATCGTCTTCTTCTCTCGAAACTTAGATTTTTAAAGGTTTCATTTCTAACACGTGTGATCTGCACACATGTTTTCTCTTGTTTGCGAATTTTATATAATATTATACGGATATATAAAAAATAAAGTCTACTGGCCTAAGAGAAAAGCTATGATAAAGAGTAAATGAGAGAATAGAACATGAGAAATAGAAAATGTGATCGTAGCTAATAGATGCTATAATTAAATCTTATTTGTATGTATAAAGAAAAAATTCTCTTCCAAAGAAAAAAAACTTAAAAAAAAAAGAAATATAATTGGTGGAAATAGCAAAAAAGAAAAAAAAAAAGATTCTATATAAAAAAATACAGAAAAAATAAGATAAATCGAAAATAAAAATTTTTCGTTTAGAGAAAGTCGACTTTGAATTTTCCTCAGAACTTATCGGAAAAAACCTCACGACTTTTCGGAAAAAACCACACTACTATATATATATATATATATATATATATATATATATATATATATATATTATGTATATTCTCATATATTTATATAAATTTTTATTTAGAAAATAATTCATGTTAGACAAATAAGAATTTGTAGACAATGTTATAGAATTGTTGTCATTAACAAAAAAAAAAAAAAGAAATATACTTATTATAATATACAGGGTGTAGAAAATGTTTTTCCATATAAATGAGTACTATACAGTACATATGTTGTTAAATTTGAGATCTCGTTAGTTTATGTCTTGTGTACAAATCAGAAGATGAAAGAAGAAAAGAAAATAGAGATAAGTGAAGAGAAGAAAAGAAGAGAGAAGAGAGAAGAGAGAAGAGAGAAGAGAGAAGAGAGAAGAGAGAAGAGAGAAGAGAGAAGAGAGAAGAGAGAAGAGAGAAGAGAGGTCAGTCACGAAACGATACTTCTTTTATTTAGTCAAGAATTACGAGAGTGGAACGAAGCTTGCAGGTGCACGAACTTATGTTAGAGAAGGCGATGCGTGTGAATTAACTCAAGAGTATATATGCATACACACACACACATACACATTTATATGTATATGTATATATATATATATAACATATACGTACACTCTTCTATCTTTTTTCGTTCCGGCTTGCTATCTTTCGTAAGTAAGCTAGTTTCGAGTAAAAAAAGAAAAAAATCAGAAATAAAGAAAAATTTAATCCTAAATCTAATAAAATAAAATATCTTCTTATTTTTAAGAAAATAGAATCTTGAATGATTCTAAATAAGTCGATTTAAAAGAAAATATATAAAAAAATATATAATAATAATAATAATTATAATTAACATGATATATATATATATATATATATATATACTATGTAACTATGACACAATGGACAAATATAAGTAAAAATAATTTGAAAAACTAATTTTATGATTTAATTTATATTAAAATTACTTATATTATAATATAAATTTTGATAGTTTATATAATATATTTATTATATTATAAATTATATAATATACTATTAATACTATATAATTTATAATACATTATTTAATTAATGATATATTATTTTATTTATTATATTTTATTATATATTATATTATTATTATTTATAATTTATTTATAATTAATTTATAATATAAAATAAATTTGTAGAATTTTCTCTCTTGTATTTACTCATAATTATCGTCATATACATTTATACTTATACTTTGTATTATAATATTATAGATTTTTACTGAAAATTAATGATATTCTAAATCATAATACATGTTTCACAAACGTTGTATTTCTATTTTAATTACGTGCATTTTTTTCAATTATTTTCTATTATTATTATTTATATAAATCTATTTTTAACCTTTAAATATTTCTATCTAATGGAATAATAAATCACGAATAAATATCATCGTATGTAAATATATGTAAAATAGTTGACTTGATATATTATATCATGTACATTACAGGATCATTTTGCAGAGCGTTCAATATTAATTAAAACAACCTTCGCACGATCTCCATCATCGAACGCGTTATAAGCGATTAGATTGAGTGTGGGACGGTTGCTCCGGCCCTCAAATATAATTAACATTTTTTATTTCCTATAAGATCATTTTTTAATATATCCACATACATATATATTTAATACGTCTATTATAAATATCAAAATATATATCAAAATCGTAAAATCTGATTAATGATCATAATTTGGTATGGAAATGATTCATAGAAAAGTGTCTTTGATTAATATCATAAAAAATAAATGATTATAACGATAATAATAGTATGTGTAACGTTACAAAAAATTATTTAGAATATACAAATATTTTTGTGATTTTTGATTTGTATGAAAAAAAAAGCCAATAGCTATGACGATGATAATAGTGCCTATAGTGTTTATTTTTAAAGTAACAAAAAAATCATTTGATATGTTTACATACATATCATAAAATATCATAACATACATATCATACATATCAATAAATTATATATATATATATATATATATATAATATATATTATAATTTTTAAGAAATAAAAATAATATAATTTCGTAAATTGTTACTACTAATAAATTATCTCTCTCTCA